GTGCCTCCAGGAGCGCGCGGCCTTCGGGCCTATGAGGGAGCAGCCACGCCTGGTCAAAAAGGTGCACGTTTGGCCCTCCCACAGGAAGGGTCTAGAACAACCTGCGCCTCGACCCGCCCACTGCGTGGGGGGGCCCGAGGGCATGTGTGCGAATGGCTTCCATGTTTGTCAGGAGGGAGAAAAAACACACACACACACACACACACACACACACACACACTTAATTGTCGATTCCCCCGAACATATCGGAAACTATGGGAAGTGGGGGGGGAGACGGAAACCCAGAAAATATAGGAACATGTGGGGGATCTTTTATCAGTGTGTATTCATTTGTGTGTCCTAGGGCCCCTTCAATTTGAGCCTTCTAGGGCCACCCTCAGCACTGCGGTTCAGAGTGAGACGGCGGGAGGTGGAGCGGGGCTCCGGGGGGTGAGTTCCTTTTGGGCTCAGGGTCCCGAGCCGCGGTGTTGTGGGCGTTCGGTCCAGGGGAGGATGTGTTCCCTGTCGTTTCGGCCATGGGCGCGAGCCTCCTCGAGCATGACGCGGACTCCGAGGGTTTTGCGGAAGCATCTGGCCTTGAAGACTCCGATTCGCGGCTCAAGTAGCCTTGTTGTGCTGGGTTCTGGCCGTTGCTTCATCTCCTCTCCCCTCCTCCTCCTCCTCCTCCTCCTCCTCCTCCTCCTCCTCCTCCTCCTCCTCCTCCTCCTTCCCATTCTCCTTCTCCTCCTCCTCCGTAGCCACTTTGGCTCAAGCCATTTTGGCTCAAGTTCCAAACCTTGCCCTGGGGTTTGGAGCTTGTTCGCTCAGAAGCACGCCCGAGCGCTCACCGCGGTCATCAGCTGACCCTGCCGATCCCCTTCGTTCTGTGCGCTCTTCCATCCAGTTCTCTCCTTCGTGCCTGCGACGGCGGACGACGCGGAGGGCCCCTCGGTTTTCGGCCCTGTGGCCCCGTCTGTCACGCCTGCCGCTGCGCTGCCTGCAGCCAAGGCCGCCCGCTTTGCTAAAGCAAAGGCCGCTGGCAAGGGTGTGACAAACCCAGACCAAAATGCCGACTTCCAGCGCATGTTCCAGATGCTCACATCGATGCAGACTGGGCAGGCCAACCTCGCGATCAAGGAAAACTTGAACAGCATGCGCACGGACCTAATTAGTCAGACTCGACGCATCGACGATCTTCAGAGAAACAATCACCGTGGGTGTACAAGTCAATGATTCACCCGCGGAGGCGCAGACAAAATCGATCAACGCTATTTTGGACCAGAAGATCGCCGAGATCAAGCGTACTATGCCGAGTACATCCTCGCCTTCTTCGGCTGCCTCGACTGCCTCTTCCCAGCATGGTGCCATGCGACCCAAGCCAGAGGCGATGTCTGACCCACGTAAAGTGTGGATCGGAGGATTTCCCCGACCTCTGCTCGGTCGAGCTCTTGAGCCACATGGGCACAAGGTGCTTACAAACCTTCTTGAAGCAGCGCGTGAGTGCGCGGTGGTCAAAGGATACTACTTGCAGAAGAGTTACAGCATCGTCTGCTCCGACACCACATACGCGAACGACTTCGTAGAGCGCGTGCGGAACGACGGCTTGAAGTGGACAGACCCTCGCGGGGGCGTGATCCAACTACGTGCTCGGAAAGACGCTCCTGCATATATGAGGCGCCGCAGCAGGATCCTCGGTTACCTGTGGGAACGTGTACGCACCCAGCTCGCCTCCACGAATCAGTGGACCACCAACATGAAGCTCGGTTCTCAGGCCTCCAAGTGCACGCTCTTCATGATCATGGACGACGAGGTGAGGATTCTATTGCAGATTGAGGCTGGAGACAATGACCAGTCCACGATCATCCCGAATGACCAAGAGCTGCAGCATTTCGCGATCGAGGAGCCGATTTACAGTCCGTGGGCCGCCGCTGCGCAATAGGAAACTACTTTGCCAGTCCGAACTTCTGCCGATGTGTGGCGCGCTGTCACAACTATGGGGTTGCACAGCATCTTCAGCAGTGTAGACGATGGCGCGCATCGACGCAGCGTTCCAGACCACAGCTCTACCTCCGCCGCGGATTCGACGGCTTCATTGGCGTCGTCCTCCTCCTCGTCTTCTGACTCCAGATCTGTATTCGGGGTGGATCTCGCGGGTTCCGGCATGCTGCCCTTCCTGCCGGCCAGCCTGTGCAGCACTATTCCTTGGCAGTGCTGCTCTAGGATTGGTTATATTGGGTCACGTCCTCCATACTATGCTACGACATGTTCCAGGCCTGTGGACCTCGTGGGTCATCATGAAATCGGACGTATCCTTCAACATTGCCGACCCGTTAGCCCTAGCGCCATCGACGGTTGCATTTTCGGCTTGTACAGGATAGCCTCAGACGGCCCCTGCTCTGTATACTCCAGTGCGCGCACAACCTATTGTAATTGCTGGTGTTCTTTATTCTGTAGTCCGGCTCACGCGTGCGCTGCGTTTTGCACCGTAGCCGGCGATTCGCTACGGCACATGAATAGTTGCAGTTGTATCGTATGTGTGTTCACTCGCTTGTCCCATATTCCTCTGTTTGTGCGCGTTGCATCCCATCTTGCCCGCCTCGCATTGTCAATGCTGCCGTGCACGTCCCTGTCCAGTCGAAGTATTGGGCGTCGCATCCATATACTGCATCTTGTGTATCATTATGTGCGGCGCTCGGTTCATGCTCTTCCGACCGTAGCGAGCCACCGACTGGGCCGTGACCGATTAGTCGCTTTCTGCCGAGAGTCTCATGCAGTGCACGGCGTGGTCGCTGCTGGATGCGCCAGCGCAGCCCGACCAGCTGTGCATTCGCCGAGAGCGCCACCGCCACCGCAAGAGCCTGGGGACGGACTGGGACTTCTCTCTGCTCTTCGCCCTCTTGTCCGCTCTTCGTCTCGTGCTCTTGGCCGCCCTTCTTGTCGTTCTCTCTGCAGCCTGTGAGCTCCTCCTCCTCCTCCTCCTCCTCCTCCTCCTCCTCCTCCTCCTCCTCCTCCTCCTCCTCCACTTCCTCCTCCCATCGGATCCCCTGCTTTCGGTCGGTTCAGGAATAGCCAAAGATACCTTCAGGAAGGCTGGGCAATTTCTCGGGCACAATGTGCTGAAGCCACGGGCCCAGCCTTCCACTTTTATTACGAAGCGAAAGAGCGCGTGCCGATATCGACGCATTTTTCGCACGAAGAAGCTGCGAGAGTCTCTGGCGCTGCACGTCTGGCGCTTCGCGCCCAGTAAGTTTACCTATACGACCACCCTTCGGGCGATAAGGAGGTTTTGGGGGGGGAACCAACGTCTCATTCGATCGGTCTCACTATCGATCTCAGTATCGATCTCACTATCGGTCTTGCTCGATCGATCTCACTCGATCGATCTCACAATCGATCTCACTCGATCTAGCTCATTCGATCGATCTCACAATTGGTCTCACAATCGATCACACAATCGATCTCACATTTGGTCTCAATATAGATCTCACTATCGATATCACAATCGCTCTCACACTCAACGTTATCAGCATCAGCATCATCAACATCATCAACATCAACATCATCACCAACATCCTCATCATCATGAGGGCACCGTCATCATCATCATAAACATCATCATCAACGTCAGCATCATCATCGGGACAACATCATCATCATCACCATCAACATCTCATCATCATTAGCATCATCATCGTAACACGGTCATCGTCATCATCATTAGCCGCATCACCATAATCATCATCATCATAATCGGGACACCAGCATTATCACCATCGTTCTCATCATCAAACTTATCATCAACATCGTCATCATCCTCGGGACCCCAGCATCATCATGATCATCGCATCATCATCATCGACATCATCATCATCAACAACATCATCACCATTGGGGCACCATCATCATCCTGAACAACATCATCATCAACATCATCATTATCATTGTTATCATCATCGGGGCACCATCATCATCACCATCATCATCATCATCACCATCATCATCATCAGCATCATCATCGGGACACCATAATCATCATCAACATCATCATCATCAACATCATTATCGCCGGGACACCATTTCCATCAACATCATCATCACCAACATCATCGGAATCATCATCATCATCGGGACACCATCATCGTCATCATCATCAACATAATCATCATGAGCATCATCATCATCTTCATCGGGACACTATCATCATTATCGACACCATCATCATCATCACCATCATCGTCTTCATCATCATCATCAGCATCATCATCATCATCATCTCATCATCATCATCATCATCATCAACATCATCATCATCACCATCACCATCATCATCATCATCATCATCATCATCATCATCATCATCATCATCATCATCATCCTCGCGGGACACCGCGGGGCACCGGCGGGACACCGCGGGACACCGCGGGACACCGCGGGACACCGCGGGACACCGGCGGGACACCGCGGGGCCCCCGCCGCCCGGAAGGGAATCATTTGGTCCGGCCGCGCCTCAGCCACACGGGACACCAGCGGGACACCGGCGGGACACCGCGGGGCCCCGGCCGCCCAGAAGGGAGTCATTTGGTCCGGCCGCGCCTCAGCCACAGGAGACTTTCTCTCGCCCGCCCACGCAGCTTCGCCTCGCCCGCACGGCACGCACGAACACGAAACCGAAATCGATTTCCCGGTAGGGGGGCTCGCCGTTCCACTTCGATCTCACCCCCTCACCTCCGATCAGGAGTCCGCCCTCAGAATACCAGGTCAGATCGTCAGGTTCCTCTAACTCCTTTTTCCTTTCTCATATTTCCCTGTTGTCCATCTTCATGTACCTCCTTCCCCCTCTCCTCCCCCTTCACCCGTCGTGTTCATTTTCCCCACGCTCTTGCTGCAGCTGTCGCTGAGGGTATTGAACCTGTGAACCCCCGCATCCTCTACCCGATCGTCCTATTTCCCACCCACCACCACCCTGACCCTATAAATCCATGTCATGTGATTCCTCGCCTGCCTCGCGTTCCGGCGCCCAGGTCGTCGCTTTCCATCCGTACAAGGGGCTCGAGGAGTACGAGGCCATTGTTGGGGAAGGGACGGAAGCGAGGTAGGGGGATAACGAAAAGAAACAGGAGAAGCAGCAGCAGCAGGATTGAAGGCCTTACACTTCGTTGGAGGGTGAACTTGTTGGTCCTCGGGTGGCACCATCAGACAGCTTTGAGGACTCTGCAGTGATGGCGACAGGAAGACCAGGAGGATGAAGAAGAGTTCGAACTGAGCAAGGGGAAGCGGGGGGGGGACGCCTTAACAAGGGACTACGCCGAAGGGCTTGACGGCAACAGCCGCCGAGCACGGCGGCGATGGCAATGCAGCGTTCCACGAAGCAGTTGATCGCACGCCTCTCTGGCTGCGAGAAGCGCACAGCCCGCACGACGCCAGAATGGATCTCCCGAGGGGTGCAGTTGGGCCCCCCCCCCCCGATGCAGGCCCCAGCCTCCGCGGCCGCGCGACCCGCCACGGGCCGTGGCCTGTTGCGCGCCATCCTCGACCGCTGCGAGGCCGCCCCTGGGCCATCTGCGGCCGGGAAGCCCAGCTCCGCCAGATGCCAAGGGGCGCGGGCACGGTCGCAGCTGCCTCTGCAGCGATGCCGCATTTCGACCCTCGGCCCAGCAACTGCGCTGGCGATGTCCCAGCTACACTCCGGTTGCTGCTCGAAGTTCGGGCGAGGGATCGAGAAACGCTACGGCGCCACGACGAGGAAGATTATTCCTCCCCTTTCTCCTCCGCCCCCCGCTCCTCATGAATAATTCCTTCCTGTCGCACCCGACGCGCGTCAGTAGAGCGAACCAGGCGTTTCGCTTGAGACCCCCATCAACGATGGAGGGCGGGTGGTTTTCAAAATGTGGTTCTTGCTCTAACGCCGCGCAAATTCGTCCTAAAAGTTTGTAGGCGTTTCACGGATGGAGGGCAGGCCGTTTTCAAGACGTTGGTATCGCCTCAACGCCGCGCTCATTCGATTTGAAAGCTTGCAAGAGGTTCACGAATGGAGGGCGGGCCGTTTTCAAAATGTGGTTTTCGGCCTAGCGTTGCGCACATTCGTGTTGAAAGTTTGTTGGAGTTTCACGGATCGAGGGCGGTTCTTTTTCAACATGTGATTTTCGATTCAGCGCCGCGCACATGCGTCTTTATAGGGTGTAACAATTCCAAGGAATATTTTGATTGGCGTCCCAGCAATGGTGTTTGGTACGATTGAGGATTGTCAGGGCGGAACAGTCACGTTGATTCGCGGCGTTAAAGTCCCAGAAATAGCGTTCTGACACGATTCAAGATCGTAATGACGAAATAGTGGAATTGATTCGCGGCTTTGAGGTCCCACGAATTGTGTTTTGGCACGGTTGGTGATTTTGAGACGCTTGTCTTCCAGCGGCGCACTTCCCGAATTGAGCATGGAACATTGTGAGGACTTGTGAAAAGGGAACTTGGATGGAGGGTTCATTGCAGCATCGTTGATGCGTCTTGGGGTTACTTTGGTTCTCCTCCTCTTCCTCCTCACCGTCGCTCCTCGTTTCTCGTTGCGCGTGAGCAGGGAGAAGGAAAGGGCGAGCGGAAGCGGGGGGAAGAGAGAGCCCTCAGTGGAAGTGGAGAGGAGGGGGAGAAAGGGGAGAAAAGGAAGGATTGAAGGATGAATGGGGAAACGCAGAGAGCGGCGATGGGGAGTGGTACCCGGGCGGAGGCGCGCACTGGGAGTGGGAGAGTGGGGGGGGGCGGGGCCACGGCGGCGAGGAAGGGTGACAAGAGGAGGGCCTGTGCGTTCTTTCAGACCGCCTCCCGTGCCGTCGGCCAGGCGTGCATGCAAAGCATGGGCGGCTGAGTGCCAGGCTGGTACCCCAGGCACGAGCGGGTCGCCGTCTACGGCCACGCCGAGGGCAAGAGGACACGGGGGGAGAGGCAAGCCGGGTGCGCGCGCGTCATATCTGGCATCCGCCCCGTCCCACCCATCCCTTTCTATTGCGGTGAGCTCTTCTTCATCCGCCAGCGGACTTGGATCCCCCAAACGACCCAATCGTGTGATGCGCAATCAGGAAGGGGGAACAGTGTTCGTTGGAAGAGAAAGGGGAAAAAGGAAAAGCAGGGAGGAATTGTGGACGAGCAAGAGGATTAGCAAGGGGAAGAGGAAGAGGAAATTGATGAGGTGGGAGGTGGAGGAGGGGGAGGAACAGCAGCATCAGGAGCACAAGAAGCGGGAAGACCAGGGGCAGGCGGAGGAGGGGAAGGGAGGGAAGGCGACAACGACCAGGAGTAAGCGGATCCAGCAGTGCGGGTGGAGCCCCCATGTGGGGCCACGAACCGTGTGACGGGTGTGCTGCCAGCATGGGCGGGGGGTCACTTGCGAACCTTGCCAATGATGCTTTCGGTAGCTTGGCATCGCTCGGACGTGTGCCTTTTTCTTTCGGCGAGGACCATCGAGGAGCATCCTTGATCATTGGCGAAAACACCACACGAAACCGAAAAAAACACAGGGAATGGACGTCCGAGCGATGGTCAGGTAGGTCTCCTTATGGGGCCACGAAGCGTGTGGCGTGGGGGGGGAGGGGCGAAACGGGCGGGGAACCGCATGCGAACCTTGCCATTGGGGCTTTCGGTGAGCCCTCTATGGGGCCCTGAAGCGTGTCAGTGGTGTGCCGAAATTGGCGGGGAACCGCAAGCGAACCCTGCCACTGGGTCTTTCGGTGGGGTTCCCTATTGGGCCACGAAGCGTGCGAGAGGTGTGCCGAAAAGTGCGGGGACCCGCCTGCGAACCTTGCCGCTGGTGGCTTCGGTGGAGATCCCCATTGTGAGGGGTGTGCCGAAATTGGCGGGGAACCGCATGCCAACCCTGCCACTTCGGCCTTCAATGTGGCCTCCGATGGGGCCACGAATAGTGTGAGGGGTGTGCCGAAATTGGCGGCGAGGAAGCGCATGCGAACATTACCATTGAGGCCTTCAGTGGGCCCTACGAAGTGAGCGGGGACCTGCATGCGAACTCTGGGCAGGCGTTGAACCTCATGAACTCTATGAGCGATCCAATGAGCGGGAACCTGTATGAACCTTATGCAATGAAGCATGTTAGGGGTTTGTTGAAATGGGCGGGGAACCGCACGCGAACCCTGCCAGTGAGACCTTCGGTGGAGCTCCCCATGGGGCCACGAAACGTGCGAGGGGTGTGCCGAAGTGTTCCAGGAACCGCACGCGAACCCTGGCATTGGAGCTTTCGGTGGAGCGCCCTATGGGGCCACGAAGCGTGTCAGGGATGTGTTGAAATGGGCGGGGAACCGCATGGCAACCCTGGCACAGAGGCCTGCGGTGGACCCCCCTTCTGGGGCCAGGACACGTGTGATGGGTGTGCCGAAATAGTCGTGCTCCCGAGGCATGGATGGATGTGATGGGATGAGGGAGGATGGGGTGGAGGAAAGGAGAGAAGCGGAAGACGAGCCGCGGGGTGCTGTCTTTTCAAATTGAGGACCCAACATCACAGGACGAATGGCAAAGCACCCTGATAGCAGCAAAGGTAAAGCGGGTCGCGGAGTATGAGGTCGGCTAGTGAAAACACGCATTCATATCAATGGTTGACGCTTCGCGTGCCCCCATCAGCCCATCTGGAAACGATGCCCAGGAGAGTTGGGGTGACCAGGGACGTGTAGGAGCAAGATAGGGAGACAGCCGCCATGTGTCCAATGAGAAAGAGGAAGGAGGAGTAAATTGAGGAGAAGGAGGAGATAGGAGGGGAAGGCATAAGCAGATGAGAAGCAGGTAGAGGAGGAGAAGGAGGAGGAGGAGGAGAAGGAGGAGGAGGGCGAGCAGAAGGCCAGAGGCCTCTTGAATGCCCGGGGGCTTCCTTGGAGGCATATTAGGCCGTCTTGGATGCCTCTTGGCGGTCTCGGGAGCCCCTTCGGGCGTCTTGGGTGCCGTTGAGGGGTGCCTCTTGAGGTTTCTTTGGGCAGCTTAGGCACCTCTTGGGGGCCTCTTGGGAACCTCTTGCTTGGGAACCCTGGAGGCCCTCTTGAGGCCACCTTGTAGGACATCGATCAAACAAGCGGGGGGTCCTTAATTAGCGCCGCCCCTCCAGAGCCTCTGAAATCGCATCTTGCGGCCCTCTTGGAGCGCTCTTTGAACGCTCTTGAACGTTCTTGGAGCCGTCTTGGTGCCCTTGTGGGTCACTTGGAGCCATCTTGAGGCTTGGCTTCGGAAGGCCATCAGAGGCGAAAAGGCGAGAATGCAACAAAGATTGATGTTCCTTAGGTGCTGGAGGGAGTTGGGCCTCTTGGGGGCTCTCTTGGGGGTGCTCCGAGGCCATTTGAAGCCTCGTCTTGAGGCGGCCATGGAGCCTGTAACAGCATCTAGGAAGCCATCGTGAGCAATCTTGAGCCATTTTGAGCCGTCTTGGGTCGCGGGGCGCCCCGTCCAGGTCCAGGGGGGAAGGGGGAGGTGAAGGGGTTCAGCCCCTTTCCCGAAGGGGAAGAAGGGAATTTAGCAGAGAAGCCGCGCCAAATCAATCACTCACGCCCAGAGGGCTGGTGGGATCTCAGGAATTTGTGGGCGTGACAGGAATAAGAACACTGCCATGTGCACCGTAGCGTATGTTTTGTACGGGATCGCGGCCGTGTGATAGGGGTGAGAGCACGGCCATGTGCACCGTACTTTTTTGTTTACCAGGTCGGGGGCGTATGACAGGAGTACGGGCACGGCCATTTGCATCGTAGTGCATGTTGTCAAGGAAGGATGATCGTCGTGCGACAGGGGTGAGGGCACGGCCACGTGGGCCATGTGCACCGTACTGGTGTTCCCCGAGCAGTGCTTGCGCTTAGGGGTCCTCACTTCTGGTTTATGGAACTGGGCTTGGGGATCGGTGTGGCGGCTCCGTACTCGCCGTCGCCGCCCCGTTGCAGCCTGGTCGCCGCCCGTCGTCTGGGCCGGGCTGTCGGTCTGGCGGCTCAGTGCTCGCCGTCGCAGCCCCGTCGCCGCCTCTTCGCCGCCCGTCGTCTGGGCCGGGGTGTCGGTGTGGCGGTTCAGTGCTCGCCGTCGCCGCCCCGTTGCCGCTTCGTCGCCACCGGTCGTCTGGGCCGGGGTGTCGGTCTGGCGATTCGTTTTTCAATAATGATCCATCGTCGAGAACCCCTTGCCAAAAAATGACACAGCATCCACGCGCGCGCATCGTCGCGCGCACATGCTGGAAATTGCAAAACAAACAGAAACGAATGGTTCCGCAGGGGTTTCAAGATCGATTTCACCGGAAAGAGAATAAACAAGTATGTCTTGGCGAAGGACACAATCATACGCAGTTGTGAGTACAGCGTTGCGGGTACCGCTTTAGGTGGAGCTCCCTTTCGGGCCAAGGAGCGTTCGAGGGGTCTGCCGAAATGGGCGCGGTGGTGCCACGCCAACGCAGCCACTGGGAGGCCCTCGGTGAACCTCGCTATGCGGCCACGAAACGTGTGAGGTGTGTGCCGAATTCGTGCGGGGGGGCGCATGCGAACCCTGCCATTGGGGCATTCGGTGACACTCCCTATGGGGCCACGGAGCGTGTGAGGGGCGTGCCGAATTGGCGTGGGGGGACGCATGCGAGTGTCGCTTCTGGGGCCTTAGGTGGAGCTCCTTACAGGGCCACGAAGCGTGTGAGAGAGGTGCTGGGATTGGCGAGGTGGACACATGGGACACTGCCATTTGGGCCTTTCGGTGGAGCTCCCTATGTGGCCACGAAGCGCGTGATGGGGTGTGCCGACATGGGGCGAGGGGGGCGCATGCGAACTCTGCCACCTGGGCATTCGGAGGAGTTCCCGATGTGGCCACGGAACACGCGTGACGGGTGTGCCGAATTGCGCGGGGGGGGCGCATGCGAACCCTGCCACTGGAACCTTCGGAGGAGCTCCCTATGGGGCCGCGAAGCGTGTGAGAGGTGTGCCGAAATGTTGCGGGGGGGCCCATGCGAGCTTTGCCACTTGGGCCTTCGGTGGAGCTTGAGCTCCTCAAGCGGCCGCGAAACATGCGAAGTGTGTGCCGACATGGTGCGGGGGGACGCATAAGGGCTCCCTAAAGGGCCTCGGAGCGTGTGAGGGGTGTGCTGAGGGCGGGGCGCACGGGGGCCTGAGGTGGAGCTCCCTTTGAGACCATTGGGGCCTTAGGTGGAGCTCCCTTTGAGACCACGAAGCGTGTGATGGGGTGTGCCGACATGGGTCGCGGGGACGCATGCGAACCATGCAGGTGGGGCCTTAGGTGGAGCTCCAGATGAAAACCACGATGCGTGTGAAGGGTGTGCCGGGATGGGCGGGTTGGACACATGGGAGCCCTGCCATGCATATATATATATATATATATATATATATATATATATATATATATATATATAATATATACAAGACTGAATTGGTGCTTCGCGCCATGCACCTTGGTTCTTGAAGTTTGGTGTGCAGGCGGAATGGCAGGAAGGTCAAACCGACAAGTTAGCGAAAATTTCCTGTTGCTTTTGCCGGCGTCTCCGTTAGAATAATGATCTATGTTATCATTCCTCCATGCTTCTTTTTCCTCATTCTCGCCATACCCTGCGTATTCTCCCCATCTTCCTCAGTTTTTTTTTGCGGAGGCTCCTCCCTGGAGAGCCTCTGGGGCCTCACACAAGTTTTTCTGGCTTTACAGGCTTTCCTAAGGCCTTCTGGAAGCCTCCTGGGCGTCGTCTGAGGCCTCTGGGGGCTTCCTCGGGCCACCCTGTCTCCGACCGCGGTCTCCCTGAACGACCAGGTCACGATTTGGAATGCTTCGGAGGGCGTCTTGGGGCAATTTTGGGCCGTCATAGGGGCTCTCTTACGCAATGTTGGAACCCTGCTCTCTTGGGCTGCC